AACAACAACAACAACAACAACAACAACATGGTGTGTTCAAGACTCTTCTCCAGCACCACAGTTCAAGGCATCAATTCTTCTTCTGTCATCTTTAGTCATTGTCCAGCTCTCTGAACTAATTGCAAAGACCATGGCCTGGATCAGGCACACCTTAGTCTCTAGACTGACATCATTGCTTATCAGTATTCTGGAGAGGTCCCTGAGAGCAGTCTTTCCCAATGCAATTAATCTTTTTATTTCCTGACTACTGGTGTGAAGAGTGTTGATTGTGGAGCTGAGAAAGCTATAATTAATAACCTCAATCTCTTTTCCATCTATCATGGTGCTTCCCATTGACCCAGTGGTGAGTACCTGGGGAATAGTTGACATAAAACTGTAATTGTTCTCCCATAAACCCTTCGGTTGTCACTGAAGAACTCCTACTCAACCCTCAAGGCACAGCTCAGATGTCCTCTTTGAAGTCTCCCCAAGCTCCTATGGTCAAACAGCATTTCTCCAAAGTAAATTTTTATTAATAAGTATGACAATTTAAAAAGAAGTATTCCAAGATAAACTACTTTTGATAAACAATAGTATGTTGCCTCTATCCCACTGGATGGCTTTCAGCATACATTTGAATGTTAAGGGCTTAGAGAAATCTTCTATCAAAGAAACTCATTTAATTGTATATAATGCAATGACTCTCACACTTGAGGTTGAAATATATTTATAGGTTAAAGCAAACAAACCAAACCTGTTGCTATCAAGTCAGTTCTGACTCATATTGTTCTTAAAACTAGATTTTTCCATCCAGAAGCCCTGCAACCATGCTTTGGGGATGCCAGCACAGGCCTCAGTGCCCCAAAGGCAGGAAAAGTCTCTTCTTCATCATCTCTGTTGCCCTAATGGCAAGTTATTAGGGGTATAGAGATGATGAAGAGGAGAGATAGATGAAATAAGATCTACAGCTTTAAATATGGGTTACATCTCAGCATCAAGAAAACAAAAATTCTCCTCCCTGGACCGATAAGCAACATCATGCTAGATGGAAAAAAGATTGAAACTGTCAACAAATTTATCTTACTTGGATTCACACAGCAGTCAGAATATCAGGAGACATTGCATTGGAGAAATCTGCAATCAGTAACCTCTCCACAATACTGAAAAGTAATGATGTCAATTTGAGGACTAAAGTGTGCCTGATTCAGGCCATGTTTTTTTTTTCATCATTTCCTATGTATCTGAGAGCTGGACAATGAATAACGATGACCAGTGATTTGTGGTATTGGAGATTACTGACTATCCCATGGACTTCAAAAAGAACAAAGAGATATGTCTTGGAGAGAGTGCAGACAGTGTGCTTCTTGGAAGCAAAAATGGCAAAGCTTTGCCTCACATACTTTGGGCATGTAATTAAGAGGGTCTATTCTTAGAGAGGGACATCATGTTGGAAAGGTGGAGAGTCAGTGAAAGAGAGGAAGACCCTCAACCAGATGGGTAGACATAATGACTGCTGCAGTGGGCTTGAGTGTGTCAGAGATGGTGAAGATGGTACAGGACAGGCTTAATTGGGTTTAGATCTGTCACTCACAAGGTCACTGTGAGTCATACTCAACTCTTCACCACCTAACAACAACAACAACAAATAGGCCTAAAGCCTGATGCAAGGCCTGACCCACAGTATATACCCATAGTTTGTTGAGTGAATAAATGAATATGTGACTCAGCATGATCTGAGCTAGTGTGGACTGTGGCTATTTGGAAGCAAAAACCCTTGACTCAAATATTTTATAAAACTAGTCCACTCTGCAACCCTCGTTGCATACTCCTATGATAAAAATAAT